CCACTACAGCTTAAGCAAGCACAAGAAGATGTAAGTATGAATTTTCTATCTTATATTCAGCCATACAGACAAATATACATAGAAAGGAATTCACTGAACCTAGCTTAAAAAATTTTCTGGTGCAGGGCTTTGAAATAGATACTGAACTTAATGATGCCTTGAAAAAGTACACGGTGGTCTGTTTTCTGAAATCCTATGAGACTCCCTTCCAAGGTCAACTGCAGAGAAAGAATACTGTTATTAAGGCTTACACTGCAGCTGAACTATCACACCATCCCCTTCCACTAGAACTTCCAGAAAACACTCAAGTTTCTTCTGCACTTGGCAGTTCATCAGCAAGGCATGCAGAAACATCATCAAAGGATCAATTGTTCACACCAAGCACAAAGTTGGTACTTGAAGAAATTGCTGGAGCCAGTTCTTACAAAGACAGCCAGACATCTGCAACCAGTGGAGCAAAACGAAGCCTTGAGTTTCCAGAAGATTTACCAGCAGACACACATGCTAACATCCAACAAAGGCTCCTGAAGAGTTTGCCAAAGAACCTGCAAAACCGTATGGTCCACCTGCAAATATCAAAGACAATCCAGCCAAGAAAGCTAAAGCAAAGGAAGACTAATATGGCCTATTTCTGTACTTTTGTTAAATCTTTTGTTCATTGCCTTTCCTCCATTGCTTAGACAATATCTTTTGAATTATATTATGATCCATTATTCTTTTGACTTAAAAAGTAATGGATCGTAATATACTTAGTAATAGTTTAACCATCAATGTTGTACTTTATTAGGCAATGAAGCTTATTTAAGCCTCCTAATATGTAACTGTGGCTGGCATCCAAGTATCTATTCTACTATGACATGAATGATTGAGTTTATGTAATGTATTATTGTGATTTGCATAGTATTTACCTCTTGAGCCTATATATACATGATGATGTTTTGGGAAATTATCCTCATTGTTACAAATTAAGCTGTTCATACCAGTGGGTAGGCCGCTGCATAGCGCAGCCAGAACCATGCTAGTATACATATATAAAGCGTGAATCGCTTATGAACAGTGGACAATGGACCGCTTATACTACGATTGTTGTGACTTTGAGGGGCGTTTTGGGATTGGATGGCAATGGCTTTGCTGGAAATGCACTTCTGTCCGCGTGGCTCTCTTCGATGGCAACATTTTGGTGGTCAGCAATTTCCTCTCATTCTCTTCTTTGTTCTGTTCTTAGCGTTCTTCGTTCTGTTCTGGTGAGTTGAGCTGAATCTAGTACGCGCCCTTTCAGAGTTTTGGGAGCTGCTATTTTTTCCTATTCTTTTGTTGGTCTTGTTTCTTCTCGTTCTTTTCTTCGCCTTGTTGACCAGCTGTGTCTTTCCCGTTCCTCGTTTTTCTTCTTAGCTTTCTCTGGGCGGTGTTTTTTCCTTCCCTTGTTTTCCTATTGAATTTTCTATTAGATTGTAAATTAAGATCAGGGATTTTTTTTCATTCATAGATTAAACGTAATAGTTTCTGCAGAATTTAATGAGAAGTTGTTGATTTTTTTGAAGAAAAGGGGAGGCGGGAATTTTGATGTATGGGGGATATGTGCAGAATAGAGAAAGAGAAGAGTGAGGAGAGTGTTTGGAGGAGGAGGAAGAACTGTGATTTAAGGGGGCTAGGGTTAGGGTTAGGATTAGGTGGGGTGATGGGGTTGAAAGGTGGAAATATTATTCAACATAGTAGAGTAGAGAAGTTTAAAAATTCCATGGTTTCACGGTCGAAATGAAGCTATGGATGATAAGGGCTACTACATCTGTGATGTTGTGGAATTGCTTGGTTTAGTTAACGGCATTGGGTGAAAGTTTTGGTCCTAGAATTTTGAAGGGATGGCCATCTTGCTCTTCTCAGGATTCTGGTTTTGGTTCTTCTGCCACTGTTACTGGTTCTGCTTCCGCTTTGGATGTTAAACCTGCCCCTGAAGATGTCCCTGCTCGAGTTCTTCCTCCCAAGAATGAGTATTACTACTTGATTCATTCTGTTTTTGCTCTTTGATTTTTATTTTTGGACGCTGTAATGAATTTGCTGTTTTGATGGTTGATGTTGATCGCTTTAAAAGATGGGAAGTAGAAGCTCATATTTTGGTGAATGTAAGCGGAAAGGATGGTGGATATGAGGTGGGAGTATTTGTGGTGTTCAGGGTGCTTTATAATGTAGAATCTAAGGGTCTTTGAATTTAGGAAAGTGGGGTTTAATTTCACACACTGATGGATGAAATGACTGACTTGGACTGCTGGTTGATTATTGAAAAGTTGAGAAGCATGCGGCAAGTTCCTGAGAGATTTGGTTGCTCCAAGCACTTGCAGAATTGAGAGTTTGCGGTGGTTGTTGATCTTTTGTTTTGTTTTGAAATGAAGTAATTGGTATAACAAACCTCTTAGGTTGTTTTACTGCATCAGTGGATTTTGCTGCACTCTATTTGCAGCGGTTAATCATAAATGTGTTGTTTGTTTTATTTGGAATAAGCATGGATCATTAATTTGTCCCTTCTTGGAATTGTATTTGGTATTTTGACTACTATTTTCCCCCACCTACAATCAGATTTGAAATTTACACCTTTTGATGTAGGAGCCCACTCCACACCGAGCACGTTAACAACGGGACTCGAACCCTGGACAAGTCAGGAAGGTCGCCATACCCTAAGGAGGGGGAGCGGACCGCTCGAGCTATCCCGTGGGGACAGAAGACTAGCCACGTAAAGTGGCAAATTTGTGGGAGGCAGGGGTTGAACCCCTGACCTCCAGCATCACCATGATGGTGATGACCACTGGACCAAATGGCCAGTGGCGTGACGCTTAGGGATGGCAACGGGGCGGGGTTGGGGCGGGGGACCCCTCCCCCGCCCCGTGAGCCCCCCGTGGGGCGGGTGCCGCATCCCTAGTGACGCTTATAGTTCCTGAGTTGGATAAAACTTCTTTCTGGGCAGATCCAAGGTCTCTTTCCTTGAACAAAATTATGGCTTTGTTCTTTTATTATGACGGAGGGCTATCCTTTTTTCCCCTCCTCTGTACTGGATCTTTGTTGTTTGATGTTGCAGTGAGTTTCAAGACATACTTGACGTTAAAGTTCGATTGAATAATTCTTTCTGCCCTCCAATTTTTCAAACTCATACTCATTATAATAAAATACCGGATCCAACTTACCTGACGCATAGCGTCAGGGCAGAATACCTAGTATATATATAATAGGCGATGAAAGTTAATAAAAAAACCATAAGTTGCATAATATGCTAGATAATTTAAGAGTTATTGGCTATTCAAATTATATTTAAATTACAATTGTAGGCTACAAAATTTATTGCAATTGAAAACCTTGAAGTTCTAATAATAAAGATGAATTCATGAGTTTTAGTCAAATGTAATAATTCCTAAAAAACCGTTACCATATTCTCTCCTTGTAACTTACGTGAAAATTGAATAGTTTATTAAAATACTACAGCACATAGAAATGAACCAAAATACCATCAATAGCACTCAACTTGTAAAAAGAATAAATTAACTTCCAAATTCGGTAATGCAAATATCAGTCATCGAGATCATGCAAAAATGGATTCTCGCATGGTTATGACAACAATCTAGAAAAATAGGTTTTTTTTTTTCTTGTACAAACTGGTTTTGCTACTGAAAAAGCAATAGCACATTTGGGAGAATTATATGCACAAATGTATGTTCAACGCATCAACAGTATGTGGTCAATGGTGATGCTTCAAGAGTTCCAATTGTCAATAATTTTGATTTGGGTGCTATAGAAGCGCATTATTCATCCCCTTGGATCTCAAGTACAACATTTTGGAATTTCAGGAATTTGACCAAAAATCCTCCTTTAAGGCTTAGTTGCAACAATTCCTATTCAAAAAAAGTGGGTGATTTGGCGGCTTTGAACGAGTTGAAATGGATAATAAGTATAATTGAGTCAACCCATTTATATTAATCTAATTAGATGGGTATAAATGGGTAAATCAAAAAATGAGTTGGATAACCCGTTACTCATTTATAATTCATTTATTTTAACTTTTTGTAAACTTATTTAAATTCATTTTTGCAAACTAAATTATCAAATTATATCACCCTTTGCACTTATCATTAGTTGTAAATGTTTACTTATAATGCTTAATAAGCCTAATTATCAATTTTTTCTTATCCGTGCTCTATGTCGTAAAATTACATACTATTTAATAATTGAACAATTGAAATATAAAAATTTGAACTAAGTACTATGAAAGTTAATATAAAACTTTATCCAAAAATTTTGAGTTCCTAGCATTTTTTTTGTGTGTAAATGTAAAATTTCATTTTGGAAAGGTAGGAAAGGAGGCTAAAACTTGTCGTAAATTGGTTATGCTAAAAAACGAACAAGTTAACAAACTACAAAAATAAAATAAAATAATAAGATATAATCAACAAATAATAAAAATAATGAAACAAAAGTAGCTAACATCTTGATAAAATGAAAAATTTGAAAAAAAAATTAAGGATGATATCTATCTGTGTCAAAAGTGCATCAAATGTTTGTTAAGGCTAAAAAATAAAACATTTCACCATATAAAGGCTTCAGCAATATTAATGCATAAAAATTTCCAACAATGGGTTCAATAATCAAACATAGGTCTCAAATTTCTTCTAAATGGGTAGGGGAAGAGAGGAGGTTTGGAAAAAATAATTCTAAATGAGTTAATTGGATTTAGTGAGTTATCCAATAATACCTCTTTATTAAATGGGTATTATTAGGTAACCCCTTAATGCCCATATGTAAAAAAATTTTATGCCCATATGTAAAAATTTAAGATATCCATATCCATCTATTTATGAGCAGACATGAATAAATTTAGTTAAATGGGCTTGTCTGCCACCTATAGGTGAACATCAAATTTACTCTTCCTCAATAGGGCATGGATAGAGCAAAATAGTTGCAAGCAGTGAGAATGTCCTCTTAATCCTCCATCCACCAGTTTCTTCGCTCTAGTTGTTCCCTAGCTCAGTTCCATCCTTGGAAAATATATGGTGCAAGAATAGTTAGTTTGAACCAAATTAAACTGGTCTACAAAACCTTTTCAAAAAAATAAATAAACAAATGAAAAGATAAAGAACAAGAAGACAAATGATCTCATTGTATGAAAAAATGAAACCTAAGAACAAAAGCAAGAAATCTTACTTTCAGGGTCTATCCTAAATGAGAAATGGTATTGCTAAAAGGATTAAAATCTAGAAAACGAAGACTAAAGTTACTTAGAATGCCTAAACATGTGTAAATGGAGAAAAGCCATAGCATGTTGGCCTTGTTCTCAGTTGCTTTAGATTTTGTAAAATCTGATTATAGAAAGTGATTATAGAGAATAATCAAAGTCAGCAAAAGTTACTCATTAGGTAATTACAGATTTTAGCTTTTTCTGTTATTAAAAAAATCCTATAATCAAAATATAAAAGCAACAGACAACATTTTAAAAGCTGATTATCTATAATTAGAATCTATAACTAGTTAAAATAATAGCACTTGCTGATCATCATGGCTAAACAGGTCTTTAGGGAAAAATATAATAGTACTTGCTGATCTATCCTAGACAAATTTTGTTCTAATGAAACTCATCTCGATATCGATCCAGCAGGGAGATAAACAACCTTTCTAGCTGGCGTTTCCTGCAAGAAAAAAGAAACATTGTAAAGTTTATCATGAACTAGTTCTTGATTGACGTAAAGAAATACAGAATTGCCAAATTGATACGGTTCAAGTCTTCAACTTCAGCAGATCATAAATTTAATTCTGCTCGATCCCGGTTGGATTTTTTAAGACAAACAGTTAGGCAAGGCAGGTACTGTGCCCTACAAGTGCAAATTATACCAACAATTATCTGATTCAGAGAGCTCACTTGATTATCACACACAACATTTTGATTCTTGTCTAAAATTAAAAGCCTAGGCAAAATTAAATTATGTAAAATGCAACTGTATCATAATTATTTCCCAGGTGGTAATTTAAACAACCAATTACCAAGGTACTAAGTTCAAAAGACGTTGAGATCTCTACGGATGCATGGTACTACAGAAGCTAAACAGAAATTCTACAAAACTATTGTGGTTAAATTTCCAGAATCTGACTTCAAAGTCAATCAACATCAGACCTTCATCAAACATGTTCACATCCTTCTCTAAAGGACGAAAGAGTCTTATTTGAGAGGTTCTCTCATCCGCTCCCTTTGGATTGTGGTGGACAGCTTTTTGGTTTTTTATTTCTTTTTCAATAAGTATAACAACTAAATGGTACTTTTACTAACTAGACAATCCATTGAAACAACCAAAAATGTTCGCGTAGGAATCTTGAGTCTTGTATTGCTGAATCCCTTGCCCCCAGTACTTCATATTGGTCTCCTAGGCATTTAACCTAAAGCTCCTTGAATCTTTGCACTCTACATCTCCCTCAAGATGTTAACGAAACACCGTATACACTATCCTACCTCAAATTTAATCATTAATTTGAACTGTGAGCTACCTGTGAAGCCTGTATGTCAAAAAAAACAACAGACAAACTTCAATGGATCTTTCACTGTCACTTAATGCATTTTAACATGAAGTTATCATAGTCATACATTATTCAACATAAAAAATTAGCAGATGATGTGATTAATCAAGGCAGAGCTGGATGGAAGAGAAGTCATATGACTCGTATCTTTTCACCCAATTTATCCCTTGGAACAAGAAGATATGCACGTGCAGAACAACACAACATCTACTTATGAGGTTGGTGCTATGAAATAGTTAACTGTAAATGACACCTATGGAAATGTCTTCAGACTTTGGCATCAATCCTTACCACTTAGTCCTCTCTACGATGACTAAAGAATGCTCTTCCATCTTCATGAATATACTAAATCATTTGAAGACCTAACGGCAGAATAAGAATACGTTTCAGTTGATGGAAACAACAATTGTACTGATACTTTACCAGATAATCTAGAAAAGATGGCAACTTTTGTTTTGGTGCAGATAAGTGAGAATATAGTTTTCACATTCAAAGTACTCATCCCTACTTATATTTGTCATCAAACATGAAAAGACTAATAGCGAAATAATAACATGAAATAAGTAAATGGAATATTCATAATGTTGATTCCAATAAGACACGGTTTAGGATCCAAAAAGAAGAGGACCAACAAGTTGCAACTAATATGAAGGTTCTTATTATCCTCCATATTTTAGTCTCTCAATATCAGGATCAAGTTTTAGCATCAACTTGAGTATATAGGGATCGTTAGAATCTAGTAAAATGGCAAAAGTAAATGAATCCAGCGAGAATTTCTTCATGATACACCACCATGTGATCATATTGACCTGCCCTAAGGAGTCCTTGCAGAAAAACATTGAATATCACATTCTGTCCTGAGCAACCATTTTCTTCTGTTTTCTTGAAAAGCTCTTTAGCTTCGATGAGCAGGCCAGCAATCATTACGGTGTATGTTTTGACACTAGGACGCAATCCTTTCACATAGAGACTAGTGAATAGATCCCAAGCACTATCTAGCCTCCCGCTTTTGCACAACTCATCAAGGATGGAGAAATTTCTAAGTTTGTGATGAATTTTAAAAAAATTCTACAAAAGGGGTGATTGTAGCGAGGAATTCTGTCGGGGGGTCTTCGCATTCCTGAAATGCGAGCTCTGTTGAGCTCGCATTCTAAAAGACTGGTAAGCTATTCTCAGCTGTCACCAGATCTTGAATTACTTTATTAGTTGCAGGTATTAGTGAGTGTCCCCAGTTTTAATATTTGAGGTGCCAGCGCTTTTCCTTCATCTTATGTGTTAACATCCATCATCAGATATTATGTGTTAGGTAAACTTTCAATGCATTCTTTAGTAGTCTGAATTTACTTTCTCGCATTACAGAGATGAAAATTTTTTTGCTTTTTTTTTTTGGAGGCAGAGATTTATATTTTTGTATTAAAACAAAATGTTTTAAGATGTCGCATGCGCGTTCGCATTCCTTAAAAAAAATTTATGAAATACGTTATTTTATTATAATACATTTAAATGGTGGAAATAAATTAGATCAATGTAAAAATAGAATGAAATTATTAACATGTAAGGTGTTGACTATATTTTATGAATAAAATACTAACTTTTGATCCTTTTTTGTGAAATAAATTTATTTATCAAATTCTAATTTTCCTTTGTTATTAATGAATCGTATTTATTTGTTGACACCGATGAATATTAGTTATAAGAATCTAATAATTAATAGTCATTAATATCTGTTACAATTTTTTTATTGTAATTTTAGAAATTCCATAACGCAATGCTAATTAAAAATTATATAAGTTATTTTTATGAGGTGCATGTTATTTGTTTGGTAGTTGAAAAGGAAAAGAAAAAAATTAAATCAAATATCTAGCGATTAAATCTTGCGTGTTTTACCTTTTACAATTGATGCGAATGTAGATATTTTTAGATGAAAATCACCGGTTACTCAACATTTGACATACTGAAGTTGAAATGGGGTCTTGGCAACCGACTTGTTTACCATCTCTCAAACTCTCTCACCAATTACCATCCATCCATCCAAAATTCAAACTTAGGTTGGAAAACATAAGTTAAAAGACTGAGAACAAGGAAACTGCATTCGTCCGTCTTCAACCAAATTGTAATTTATCCGAAGGCAAAGTCATATCAATCTAGGCAGTGAAATAGGCACCTAAGAAAAAATAGATACTCGGAACTGATTATTTTTTTCTTCAATTTTTTTTTTTTTTTGGGATTGCTTTCTTCCAGCAACTTCTGTTCACCAGGAAACATTTAACTCGCTCCCCTCATCCTCTCTTAGTCTGTACAATAACCCATCTAAGATTATTTTTGTATAGAAGAACCCAAACGGAAATGCTAATCGCCCCCCCAAATTTAAGAGCCCAACAAGAAAAACAAAATTACTACTTCCCTTCTGTTGCCCACTTCTCCCTTCACCCCACCAATCAATTGATACCAAAAGCTCACTGAGCTCGCATTTCCGGAATGCGAGCTCAGTGAGCTCGCATTTTGGAAATGCGAAGACCCCCATTTACAGAAACCCCTCCAGGAAACGCCCTCGTTGTAGAATTCTTTTTTTTTTCCATCATAAACTAAGAATTCACCCTCAAGGATGATAGTGTACATTTCCATATAAAGATCTATTCCTTGAGCTTCCATTGAAGGAATAAGTGCAATGCTTTGTTTACATGTCCAGTCTTGCATAAGCCATCTAACTCCACATAGAAGTGTGAAAACTAGGCTTTAGGCTAGCAGCTTGTATCTCACCAAAAACTTCTTTTGCGCTAAGATACCTTCCTGCGCCAAATAACCGCTGCACGACAGTGGTATAAGTAACAGTGTCAGGTGCTAAACCTTTATGTCGAATCTCTTGGAAGAGATTCATGGCTGCTTCCACTTTATTGTTCTTGTAATAGGCATCTATCGGAATAAAATAGCTATGCAAAAGTTCTTCACCAACTCTCCGCAACAAGAGATAGGCCCTTTTTCATGTCTCTCCTTTTTTTTTTTTTTCCTTTTTTTCAAAATTTTCTTGCCCAAATTTTTTTGCCAGAAAATTCTGCCCAATTTTTTGGGTATTATTTGAGTGATGGGTACAATTATCTCCTCCTTCTGGAATTACTTTAGTTGTGGGTGCAATTACTTGACTTTATCTGGTCACGACCACTGGTCGTCGACCATGGCAACCAAATCAGATTTGGTCACCATCGCTAGATTTGATCACCATGGTCGGCGACCAGGGGGGAGAGGATGGGGATGGGGGTTGTGGGAGAGGGGGGGGTAAGAAGGAGGAGGGGAAGGGAGGAAGAAGGGGGAGGAAGAAACAGAGGAGAAAGGAGGAGGAAAATGGGGAGGGGAGGGGAGGGGAGGAGGGAGAGAGGGGAAGTGGTGATGGAGTAGTGGGGTGGTTGTGAAAATTTTAAAATATTTAAAAATACACCACTAAAATTTTAAATCTTAAAAATACTCCAAAATATATTCTCAAAAATACTTTCAAAAATATCACTACAAATATTTATAGTAAAAATTTTTTACACATATTATTACAATAAAATATTTCAAAAATATCTTAAAAAATGGTTAATCTAAACGGAGTCATAGTTATTAAATTCGGCCAGAAACTCGACTCAGAGAGGTGACCGGGTCACTGGTGTGAATTGCATAATAGATTTATGTACTAATCTTTCCTACACTGTCAGTCTTGAATGAATGACAAATATACAAAATTTGAATTTGAAATTTAATTTTTATACGTGTTATGGATTCAACAGCAACAGTATATAAATTATTAGTATGTATAAGATTTACTCTAAGTATATTATATAATATAATAATACATTTTAACTTATCAAAAAAATAAATTTTTTAAGGTGATAAATTCAACTAACGATTTTTTTTCGATTCATCGGTTAAACCGCTAGGTTGTTAGTTTGTTAATGAATTTGTTGCTTAATCAATCCAATTGGTGACCTAATTTGATCTTATGATCGGTTCATCGGATTGACTTACTCGACCATTGGGCTAGGCCAAGTTGTACAACTATGATCTAAACCTGGTGGGGCCTAAGTCCAAACCTTGATGGAGCTTGCGCAAGGTCACTATAGATGGACGGGCCAAAGTCATTTTGCAA